ACAAAGGAGAGTCCTAGTCTCTTTAAGTCTTCCCAGAAAGGACTGCTGGGAATTTAACACAAGACTTGTGCATATCAAGTTAGTAATTACCAGCTAACTACGCCCCAGGCTTTGGAAGTCTCTCCTTTTTTTTTTTTTTTTTTTTTGAAGGTAGTAAAACAACAGAACAAGACATAAAAAAGCCAATCTAGACAGTGCAGTGCAATTGGTACAGAACTACACAGCAGAATGCCAGGGATAATAGTAATAGATATCATAGTTTATCCCGGTATCTTCACAGTAGTTGTCCAGTCAGTTAGGTATAGCAAAATCAAATCAAAAACAGAAAATTATACAACCATTCAAAAGAGCATATTGAATAATGTAATACAATTAATTGTAATGAAACAAAACAGTGAAAAAACATTTGCCTTCAAACAGAAGATGGAAGTAAATCCCCCCATATTTGCTATATTGCATATGGTCATCCTTTCAAATCATATTTAGACCTCTGTCCCCAGTTGCTAATGAGGGGGAGTTGTTTGGGATGTTTGATTTATAGCCTGACTCCTGGCTTGCACCAGAGGGAGACACCCACCAAGAGGGCGGCGAGTTGCCTTCTGCAGCCAGCTGGGTTCCACCATGGCCGATACTCAGAGGCTGCAGACTGGATCTCCTGGCTTGGACCAGAGGGAGGCACTTGCTAATTTATTGTAATTCTAGTCAGAAGTTATATAGGTTTCCCCCAAAGGGAAAAATTGTTGGGGCTGTTAATTTTGTAAACTACATTTGAAAACTATTAGTTTAGACTAAATATGATTACCATTATGTTTTTGAGAGTAGGATTGATTTCTTTTTTCCCTAAGAAAGGGAGAGGAGCATAGGTAGTAAATAGGTATCCACCCATGCCCAGTATTTCTGTGTATTCTGCACTTTGTTTAACCAGTATTGACTTGAAGGACATTTGCTATTTCTCAAATTTGAATTTTTTAAATTATTATTTAATTTTTTGAGATTGCAGGTAATTTTTGAACTTCAAGTTTACTTTCATGGACTGATTCTCTTCGTAGGTCTTTAAAGTCAGTATGCATGTGGGATCCTTGGGTGCTTAAACCAAGGCTGATGGAAATGAGCCAGATGTGAATGGAGCCCTTGGACTGGCACACTCTTCTTCCTGTTTATATGGTTAGGTGTGGTAGAGTGGGAAGGATATGGATACAGACTTTGGACTGATCTGTGTCTGAGTTCAGGTCCAAGCCCCACAACTTAATATGTGAGCCTAGAGAAATCAGTTTCCTGCTGTTTTCATCTGTAAAAAGGATTATTTGACAGTGCTGGTAAAAACTAAATTTAGAGAAATGAAAAATATTATTGATACTTAATTAGTTTGCTAGCTTCATAGAAAATACTTAAATATTTACATAGAGATGAGAAGACCTTTGCTCCAGGTTTTCCTCCAGCCTGTCAGCCAACCACACTGTCAACCCAACCATCCAACAGTTAGCTTTAACTTCTTTAAGCTTCAGTTAGAAAAATGAGGCCACTTAAGGATCAGAGAGCTGATAAGTAACTATTTAGATGGGTGAGTTAATTTGTTTGGAAAGAGTTACCTTTGGTTGTAAGATTGAGGTGAGTCATACTGAGCATTATTAGATCATTTGCTATCAAGAGGAATTAGGAGAGATTATTCCTTCCTCTTGCAAGAGTTTCTCCCTTTTTTCTTATTACTTATAAATCATGGAACCTAAAGCCAGCTGCCATTATGAAAAACACCTTGAGTTGTCTTTGAACAAGGCAAAACAAACTTGATTCTTTTCCAGTCTGGTCATGGTTCATGCTAATACATGAGTTTTCCTCTTCCTGTTTTTTAGGCTCTGTGTGTGTATGTGTGTGTGTGTGTGTGTGTGTGTGTGTGTGTGTGTGTGTGTAAATCACATAACAGTGACATTAGTACATTTTCTGTGTTTTATAGCTGTCATCTCTCTGGTTCTAAATGTTTTCATGACCACCAGACACTTGTGCAACTTTAAGAGCATTTGTACCCCATGAATCCCCTCTTTCAGCCTCCAAAATATTAACCTGCTTTCTGTCTCTGGACCTAACCTTTCTTGGATATTTCACATAAATGAAATGATAGAATGAGGGACTTTTGTATCTGTTGTGTGTCATGTAGCAGACATTTAAGATTCATACCTGTAGCATGTGCTAGTATTCCTTTTTGTGGCTAGGAAAGTCCCATTGTGTAGATAACTGTTAAGCCATTCATTGGCAGTGGACATTTTCTCCATTGTGAGTTTTGGTGATGGGACGTCTATGTAAGTGTTTGAAGGCCCACTTTGAATTTTTGTCACATATACCTAGCTGCAGAATTGCTGAATCATGTGGTGAAGCAGTATTAAAGTTTTTCATTGAGGATCCTCCAACTATTAGTTTGACCCAAGTCCTGTATTTCCCTATTGTGCTTTGGACTGGTTTTCTCCATTGAAAGTAGAGTATTGAAATGTTCAACTATTTTACTGTGTAAGTCTTTAACTTACGATGGAATTTACACAATCATTGCACCCAGGCTGCCAGCCTTCTCAGTAACACAGTGGTGCACTGTAGTCCTTGTCTGCCCTTGTGTAGCTGCCTGGAAGCTGTGGCTTTGCCCCCACTTCCCATCACTGAAAAGAGACAGTGTACCACGCATCACCAGCTTGGGGGGAAACAGCCAAGTTTTGAACTAAGATTTTTACTGCATGTGTATTACTTTCCCACCATACTGAGCTTGAAAAAATGATAAGTTAAACCATCTTAAGTTGAAGACTTGTTATATTACCTGTTTTTCTGTTCAAGTGTTAAGTCTTCTTGATCGGCTCTATAGTTTCTTTCTTTGTGTCTTGTAACAATTTTTGAATTGAAATGTATATTTGCTAACATTAGTAGGCCATTTTTATGGGCTAAATTGCCTCCCCCAAAAGATACTGAAAACCTCGCAGAGATACTTGTGAATGTCATGGAATTTGGATATAGGGTCTTTGCATAGAAATAGGTCTTTGTGATCATTTGTTTAGGCAGCTCTAGGATATTGTGGGTGAAGTTGAACAAATGCCTGGAATTGTGGAAAGAGCTATGAGCCTGGGAATGGCTTGTCGGTGGCAGTGAGTTGAGGAGTGTGATGGGAAGAGCAGTCCAGACTGCCTTGAAAAGACGGCTGACATAAAAGTTTATGTTGAAGGCAGTCTGAGAAGGCCTTCAAAGGAGATGTTGAGCATGTTGGGCAATGGGAAAAAGGCAGTCTTTGTTAAAAAGTTTAAAAAGAAGATGACTAAATTGTGTTTTACTGTTGGGTAGAAAGTAGAACTTGTGTGGAATGAACTTGGATCTGAGATTTCTAAGCGAATTGCAGAAGATATAGCCTGATATCTTGCCACTTACACTAAAAAGTTGGAAGAGAAAGAATGAGTTAAATCAAAAAAGAATGTGTGGATGATAATTTGGGGAGGTTTCAGTGTATTGTAAGGCATTAGGTGTGTGACTGCTGGGTCATATCAACCCTCACAGCAGAACCTGAAGTGGAAGTGCAGTAATCAAGAAAAGATCTGTGGAGGCTCCTCGTTTCATGGCATGGACCACGTGAGTGATACAAGACTGACAGGATGTCAAGAATTATGTTCAGCTAAACACTGATAGACTAACCTGAAAAGGACAGACACAGGGTGAGGAAAGAACCACAAATGCAGAGCCCCAGGGATTGGAGAATTCTCAAAATCTGAGGGCCAGCTGATCTCACATTGATCCCAAGGATTATTGTTAGGATTTAAAATCTGAAGACGGTCTGGGGATTTAGCTCAGGGGCATAAGCGCCTGCCTTGCAAGCACGTGGTCATGAGTTCGATCCCCGGTACTGATTAAAAAAAAAAAATTAAAAAAATAAAATCTGAAGACACTTGCTTTGCTGGTGCACTGTGTTGGAATGCCTGTGTTCCTGCAGCCTCCCCTGGACAATGTGCTGTCAGACATGTGGACTCTGACAGTCAAACATCAGCGAGTCATGCTAGCACACCATTGTTTTCTGTGGAGTCTCTGGCTGCTTTTTATTTGTATATTTGAAAGTCGTGTTTTCATTGAGGTACCACATTTTCATTGAGTGTTAGCTTTGCTTCTGATTGGTTTTGTCATACAGGAGATTGTTTTTATGTTTTGTTTATGTCAAGTTGTCATCATGTGACTTCAAATTTTACATTGCTTTTAGAAAGACCTTTTCCATTCTGAGGGTATTAAAAGATTCTTCCATTGTCAAGATGGACTTCTGATGCATGCCTACCATTATCTAGGTGGGGAATACTGTGGATTTAAAAGCTTGTCTATGATGTTAACTTTTTATTCTTACCATTCAGTAGAGGATGAGAGTAGTAGATGTCTGTGTGCGCCTGTGTGTGGAGTCTCATAGGACAGCTAAACTAGGACAGTGCAATGGAGCCAGCAGTCCTGGAGCTGAACTTTACCATGGGATTAACTCATGGCATGATTCTAAATAAAACTTGCATTAAGGAAAGGTATTCTGTTAGGAAATTTCCCCTTTACCAATTCCTTGCAATGTGGTTGGGTTGTTACAGCATGTAAACACAAATTTTGTTTGTTTCCTTCAGTTGTGGTTACTTTTCTTAGACTACTTTCTAAATTTGGTTTCTCTCTACTTTAGCACTAATGATTAGAATGTAGTGCATTAATTTACTTAGGCATGTTGTGTATATTTCTCTATGTTATATAGTGTATTTTTTTGTAGATGAGGTAATATAAAATTACTATTTGTGGGATTTGAAGGATTGTCTTTATAGTAACGACATTAAGGATAGATTTTACCTAAATGTTTTACTTTGTTTCAGTTATTTTAGTGAAACTGAGGTCTTTTGTTTTGTTTTGTTTTTTTCCATTAAGAAATGTTTGACTTCTATTTAGTAACTGCATTTGTGGTTAGCAGATGTACAGGGATGGATGTTGGCTACCTATAAACCTAGAATGGTATCTGTTTCATCTAGATCCCAAGGAGGAGAGAGAGGAGGAAGACAGCTCTGCCCTCGCTCAGGAAGTTTCTGGTGTTGCAACCAGACCCGGCCGCGGCTGGCGCAGTAGCAGCAGGACATCGGGCTCCCGTGTTCGAGACACAGAGAATACCCGCAGTTCTCGATCCAAGACTGGTTCATTGCAGCTCATCTGCAAGTCAGAACCAATCACAGATCAGCTCGATTATGGTACCGTGGATGTAGAGTGTGGTTGCTTTCTACTGATTTTTTAATTTTAAATGTAACATTGAACTTTACCTGAGTAGTTTAAGTTTCAGGGGCAGGTATGGCAACATAAGATTTTTCTTGGACAGTTTCCAAGAAGCTTTCCTTTAGATAAGGTGCTTATATCTTTTGGTTGCATAGAGGAAAGAACTTATCTGTGCATAAAGTTTTGATTGTGGCTTTATTTTTCTAGAAGTTGCAGATGAACATCAGTCTCAGTCTCCCGGTGGCATTAGGTAAAAGCTTTCATATTTATATGTTGGGAACATAGCACAAGGACATTAAATGATGTGGAAGTTGCTTTTACTTAAGACTGAACTAGAAAAGAAGCGGTATTTGGATTCCACATTGATTTTTCTTAAAGCTCTTTAAACCATGTAGCCTTTGGTTATGTGGTATGGAAACCATACCATGATTGAGCTTACTTCTTTGGCTCTAAAGTGAACAGTGGTGTTCTGGCCAGGGTTTTGGAAATAATCATGATAAGCTGTGGTTTTTATCTGCTGATAGACCTTTTTGTGCTACAGCTGATTTCTAGACATATAGTACTATTGTAAAGTCAATTGTTTTTTATTCTTAGTGCCATTGAACAGTCATTCCTCTGTCCTTATTTAATCAAGAGATAGTATTTCTAAGGTTTTTGTGGTTTGCGTTATTAATTAGAATAAAGCAACTAGATCATATGGATGAACATTTAGATAACTTAGCGTGAATTTTGGCCACCTCTAAAAAATTGCCAAATATCACCCAGTCAGACATGATCCTTACAATCAGAATTACTTCTGTTTTTCTTTAGTAGTGATGAGGAGGAGGAAGAGGAAGAAGAAGAGATGCTAATTAGTGAAGAGGAAATACCTTTCAAAGACGACCCCAGAGATGAGACCTACAAACCACACTTAGAAAGGCATGTCTCGGGCTCCCGGGCCAAGTCGGAGTGAGAAATGGGGAGGCACTGTTGCATGCTCTTCCTGTGTCTTGTTGCCAATCTTGAGAGTTAAAGATATACTATGCACTGTGTTTCAGATCTGATGTAATCTTCTGTTTATAGGAGTTTAATTTGATCATATCACAATTACTAGAGATTTATGTATATTTTATATTGATTTGCCAGGATACTTCTTTTTTAATAGCTGTAGTGAAATTTGATTTTTAAGACTGAAGCCCAAATATTCATCCCATAGGTGTCAGATATGTACAGCATTACCATGCATGTCTGGAACAGTGGGTAGGAAATCAGTTCGTTAGCTAAGAATTAGAATTTTATAGTAAATCAATGCTAACCACTTTTAACTTTCTGTCACTGTCTTCCTTGAGAGGACCTTTAGCAGAATACCAGTGTTGAACTGCATTTGTGTTTTCAGGGAAACTCCAAAGCCACGGAGAAAATCGGGAAAGGTGAAGGAAGAGAAAGAAAAGAAAGAAATTAAAGTGGAAGTAGAAGTGGAGGTGAAAGAAGAGGAGAATGAAATTAGAGAAGATGAGGAACCTCCTAGGAAGTTAGTAACAAATTTCTGCTGAAAATGGAAATTGACAGAACTTGAAGCCCCTAGTGATAACTGAAAGTATGCATGAGGGATAGAGTGAGAGAGTGTGTTTTTACCTTTAGGACGTGTGTTTTTACCTGAAGTGCTAGCCTCAAGCAGCTGACAGTTTCCTTGCAAAAATCCACTCAGAGGCTTGAAGTTTTCATTTTCATTTAAAGCAGTATTTAAGTCCAAATGATTTGCAGGGGAGAGATTGGCTCTAGGGATACAGAGGAAACAGAGACAAGAAAAAGGGAAATACAGGTACTTAAAAGAAGCATGTATAAGACAAACAGTGTAGTGTGATTGGGTAAAAATTTCCTGCTTTTTAAATTTATTGCAAGGAGAGGAGAATTTATATGTTTAGGGTTTTTAGGTAATAATTTGTTGATCTACCTTTTATTTGGTGATACTTTTCATTTTGATGACTCAGTGGCATTGGGATTTATCCAACTCCTCAGTGGCAGTGCTTAGTTTATAGAAAGTGTATAGAGTGTTTAATCTGGGGCATAGGTGGGTTTGAAGGTGAAATTAATTCAGTTAAATCTTGCTTGATTTGCTAAGTGCATATTGACTTTTACATAGTTTATATAATTATCCTTTGTGTCTGCTGTACGCTCTTTGGCCTTGAATATATGCCTTTCCAGCCATCCTTCACTTCTTTAAACTTCAATCTGAAATACATGGTCACTACTCTTTCTTTAACTGTAGGAGAGGACGAAGGCGAAAAGATGATAAAAGTCCTCGGTTACCCAAAAGGAGGTGAGGAAGTCATTATCCTACTGTCTCACACCTTACCCTAGTACTAAGGCATTTTACTCACTTACTTAGCTTTCAGTAATCCTGCAAGGTGCCTTATTTAAAAGTCCATAAAAGTAGTTTATTAGTGTCCATGCTAGGTAGGTACTATATTTTTATATTCATTGCAGAATAGTTTCTAAAAGCCTTAGTAATTTGTACTTTCATAGAAATTCTTGTGTTTATTCTTGCTGTTTTTGAAAGCTCAAGTATTTGTCAGTTTGTGGTTACTTCTAACAAATCCTGTAGAAAAGCAATTAATTCCTTGTATTGTAATAAAATAGCTCTGCTTTATAGTACAGATTTCCACTTTTCTGTTAACTGTTCTCCTGTATTTTGCTACTAGGAAAAAGCCTCCAATCCAATACGTGCGTTGTGAGATGGAAGGTTGTGGAACCGTCCTTGCTCATCCTCGCTATTTACAGGTCAGTGGCGTTGTTAGGTCAGATATCAGATGGCCTTTCAGGTTAGGTTTTGCCACTTTCCTCACCTCCACCTCACTGAGACTTGGTGGGCTTGCATAGGTTTTATCACTGGCACAGAGTCAAGGCAAGTCCTCCTACCACTACTTGAGTCATCCTATCTTAGCCCACCTACTCTACTGCAGCAGAGTACTGCTACCCAGAGGTTGGGTGACTGATACAGAGGACAGTGTCTGGGCTCACCCATTTCTGGTGCATGGAACTGTGTGATGTGGTCCTTACCATCACACCGCAGCTTCTAGCAGAATGTGAAGGGGCGAGAGGGAGTGGAGTGTGCGAGGACAGCAGATCTCTTCCCACCTTAATAATTATAATTCATTTAAGGAGCGGAGCATTAACACCTCCCAGCGGCTTGGCCTGGGAGGTTAATGTTCAGTGTGTGGACCCTGGGAGTGGGTTCACAGCACATTGTGTTTTAAAACTAAGAGGGCAAGAACCCAAGCTCAAGGTATGGGCTTTGCTTGGGATCTTGGGAGTTGGCAGTGTTCCCCAAAATGTCATAAATACTGCAGAGAGGAGAGGTGATTGTTACAATACACCAGGGCACAGAGTAACAGATTTTAATGTGGCTTTTTGTTTTTTTGGTACGGAGATCTAATTGACGACATTGCACTTGCTAGGCAGGCACTTAAATCCCGGCCCTAACGTGTATTTTTTAAAAAGTGAATTTAATAGCAAGAATAAGTATGGTTTTTGTTTTTCTTAAGTGAAAATGGTTTGTTTTTAAAAGAACAGTGGCATACCTTCTATTTGCACTTGACAGAAAATATGAACCTGCAATACTGCTGAGGGAAGGTCTGTTTGCCCTTCAGCAGAAGCATGGCATGAAACTAAGGCCTTGCTTTTGATTGTGACTCTAATGATAGTTTCTGCTATTTCACTGTTTATCAATTGCTACGCTAAACACTGTAAAATATATAGTCTCTTTATCTTCTCAGTTGCCTCCCCATCCACTTACAAAGTATCTGGTTTTCTATTGACACTTAGGACTTATCAGAGAACTTAATTTTATCCCTTTCATTTCTCATCACTCTTTTAGCACCACATTAAATACCAGCATTTGCTGAAGAAGAAATATGTTTGTCCACATCCTTCCTGTGGACGACTCTTCCGGCTCCAGAAGCAGCTTCTGCGGCATGCCAAACACCATACAGGTACTGCTTAAAATAAGGTGTTTATCAAATGGCCAGATGCCTTGTATTGTAGGTGTACAAATTGGTTCTGGTACACGTTTTTCTTATATAAGTCATCCTGAGAGCCTCAGGTGTAGGAGAAAGATGTAAAAATAAAATTTAATAAATTTTATAAGGTATGATCAAACTAGGGCTTTTGAATTTTGACTTTGACTTTGAGAACTCCTCTAACCAGAATAATGATCTTTTATTGAGCATATATTGTGTATCAGTTCTATATTCTTACTAATCTGTCCACTCAACACACTGATTTAGTTTGCTTTAGGCTTACTTTCTACCTTAGAGACCAGAAATTCAGCAGCATTATGTAACTTCACCACAGTCATCTACTAGTAGTTAGTAGAGGCAGGATATAAATTTGCATCAGATAGATTCCTATAGTAGCTGTTGTGGACTAAAGGTGGGGAATAGTGGAGAGAGAAAACCTGAACTGGCAAGGGAGCTTGCTGGTAATTGTGGTTAACTGTTACATAGCTCCAGGGGCTTCTGCTGCTGTTGAAATCATGAACACAAGCTATTGATTTTGCATGCCAGTTTGTATAGGAACTGAACAAAAGCTTGTGCAGTACGCATTGTAGACTCAAGTTCAATTCATTAATAATCACTGGTGATTTTAATGAGGTGCAGCATATCAAGACGGATTGGGCTGGGTCTTACTGGCACTAATTGGATATGTTTCAGACACTATTATGTTTTCTTCTTGGTCATTGTGTATAATACTAGGAATTCCAGTTGTAGAAATGCATCCATTCCCCAAGATGATACATATACTCTCTCCTCCAGCGGCTGTGTGTGACTGAGGGAAGTGTCACAGAGTTTGTGGAAGTAGGGGATGAGATAACATAGAAAGTGCACATGATACACTGTTTTCAAACAAGATATTTGAATTTGTGTTTAATTACCCAAAGGTCTACAGTTTGGTTTTTTTTTTTTTTTTTTTTTTTTGTATGCCATGCTTCTTGAAAGAAGAGTATGTTGTCTTTCCTGCTTCTCAGTAGCTTCTCTCTGGTTCTTCTCTCCCTTTTTCCTAGTTACACTGTTCAGCCTGTGGAGATGTTTTCTGACAAACAGTTTAAAGTTTTGCTAAGTATCAGAAATGTACTGTGAAGAACTTTTCTGTTCCCACCACACTTATGTGGTATTAGTTTTCCTTTGCAGAGTAGTAGGTGTGGGCTTCCTTTACAGAAACGAACTGTTTAGTGTTGGTACCCCACCCAGATTTCCCATGCCTTTACAAAGGAGAACAAGAGAGCACCATGTAGTTGATGCCAAGAGTCAACCCTGTTAGGGTTACATATGTTGAGATCTTGCTGTGTAATGCTACACAACAAACCAGCCAGCGTTGGTATCGCTTGGACTTTCTTAGCAAATGCAGCATCTCAGCCCTACCTCAGGCGTGATGAATGAATGCATGCATTAGTAAGATCTGCAGGTGATCTTTTGTATGTTTGAAAAAAAATACAACTCTTATCTCACACTTGGTTTTGAAGCTATTTTGAGAAGGAGTACTACCTACTTAACCTACATTCACATTTTCATTGTAACTTACATATAGCAGTTTCACATGCAGTAGAAAATGTGATCATTCATCAAATATTTTGTACCTGTTTGACTTTGTACTCCCTCCTCAAGTAATAAATATGAAGTGAGTTTGTGTGTCATGTGGGTTCCCTGCTGTGTCACCAAGTTCATTAGAACTCTGTAGAATCAGAGGAAGGGGGGGATGAAGTGACAGAAGGAAGCAAAAGGTATTGGGTAGAGGGGATAAAAATCTATCTGCATATATTTGCATGTGAGGGATTTGTTTATTTTATTAACATTTTTAAATCCTGAAACAGATACGATTATTTTAGATGAAGATGAGTTCTGGGGGAATGCCTTTTTTTTTTTTTTTTTTTTTGTAATACTAAGGATGAACCTGAAATCTTTGCACTGAGCATGTCCCTGGCTGTTTTTTGTTTTGAAACAGGGCCTTACCAAGTTGCCCAAGCTAGGCTCAAACTTGAGATTCTCTTGCATTGACCCCAGAGTGCTGGGATTCCAGATGTGTATCGCCACACCTAGATGGGAATGCCAAATTATTCTTTTGGCTTTGTTTGAATGTTAGATTCTTTTTGTGTAAGCATTCTTTTCATCTTTCAGACTTTTATGACAAAATTGTTTTAAAGAATAAAATCCATAGGAAATGTAGTTGTTTACCTTCTAACCAATTTACCCAAGGTCAGAATTAATAGTTCTGATTGAGATTAGGATTCCAGTTCTCATATTTCTAAGTTTTCATGTTTGTTTTTAAGTGAGTCCTTCTGCTGCTGAATGTATAGACTAAAAGATCAAAACAGGTTTTTTTGTATTCATACACTGAGAACAGTATTAATACCTGGAGTCCAGATTGACTTGCCTGACCACCTGCATGCTTGGATGTTACGGATGGTACAGAGAGTGTGTCTAAGTGGGACTTTAACCACATTATTTCCCCTTAGATCAAAGGGATTACATCTGTGAATATTGTGCCCGGGCCTTCAAGAGTTCCCATAACCTGGCTGTGCACCGGATGATTCACACCGGCGAGAAACCATTACAGTGAGTATTTCCTGGTGGTTTCTGGCTGACCCCCCAGAAAGTTTGCCCCTTACAGTCATTGCAGTTGCCACTATTCAGTTCTGCCAGATTATATAGTGTATGTTGATTGGAGGAGCTACTTTGTAACCTTTCTTGTTGCTTTTTATTATTTTTCAATTAAACAAAAGAAAAGCATCAGATTTGTACCTAGTGGTTTCCTTCACTGATTAGTGACTGGAGAGCTGTGTGGATCCTGAGTCCTCAACTAACCCTTGCTGAGTAGCGCTCTGCTTGTGTTTGATCTCCCCTTTCCTCTCCTGCTCTCCTTAGATGTGAGATCTGTGGATTTACTTGTCGACAGAAGGCATCCCTCAATTGGCACATGAAGAAGCATGATGCAGACTCCTTCTACCAGTTTTCTTGCAATATCTGTGGCAAAAAATTTGAAAAGAAGGACAGTGTAGTGGCACACAAAGCAAAAAGCCACCCTGAGGTGCTGATCGCAGAAGCTCTGGCCGCCAATGCAGGTGCCCTCATCACCAGCACAGATATCTTGGGCCCTAACCCAGAGTCTCTGGCACAGCCTGCAGACGCTCAGGGTCTTCCTCTTCTTTCTGAGCCCCTGGGGAACTCGGCCTCCGGAGAGTGCCTACTGCTCGAAGCGGAGGGGATGTCTAAATCCTACTGCGGCGGGGCCGAGCGGGTGAGCCTCATGGCTGACGGGAAGCTCTTTGTGGGAAGCGGCGGCAGCAGTGGGGGCCCGGAAGGGCTGGTCATGAACTCGGATATACTCGGTGCTACCACAGAGGTTCTGATCGAAGACTCAGACTCTGCCGGACCTTAGTGGAAAGGAGAACTCTGGGCACTGGGACAGTTCGGACTTTGTATTTAAAAGATAAAAAGGAGAAAAAAAATTTAAAGCATTTAAAATCTAGTAAAATAACTGAAGAGCCTGCTCTTTCCATTGTGGATCACAGCACACACACACCCCAGCCCCAGCCCCAGCCCCAGAACTACTCCTTTTCCCCTATCAAATTGATGTCACCTTTTCCAGAAAGGTAGACAGCAAAAGCAGCAGCAGTTCTGAAAGTGAGAGTTTTCCTCACGCTCGGTTCCAGCCAGCAGCAGATTTCCTGCTCATCGCAGATCCCCGTTTCCTACTCGTAATTCTTAATACACCCTGGGTCAGCATTTAACTCCTGTAGTATATTACTCACTTCCAAATTCTTTGTCCTTCTCCTGCTGCCCTATGGTTCTGGCTTCTACCCACTGCAGCACACTTAAAGTAATACGGAATTCTAATCTCTGGAGGCTGGCAGCTTGACTTGGCACTTTAAGGCCCCTTCATAGCATGTGCTGTTAAAACAGCACACTACTGTCACCCCTCTTCTGGTGGCCTCTGGGTTTTGGAAAGGTTACAAGTGGACCACCCTCCTGCTCTTTGGTCCCAGCACCTCAGTCCCCTCCCAGACCTCCACATGGTCGTACTGTTGTTGGCTGGCTGGGAAGCAAGCTCCCAGAAGGGAGGAGGCTGCCTATTTTCGGTCTGTGGCTGTAACACAGGGCTCTGTCCTTGAGACAGAAAAGTCCCAGGCCAATGGCAGAAATTTGCACTTTGAACATGTGTGTTTTTGTGTTGTGGAACCTGAGATTCCTTATTTATTAACGAAAAGTCTGATTTTTGCGGGGGTGGGGTCCTCATTGCTGTGTTTTGTGGGGCTGGGAGAAAGTAGATGGACAGATGTAGGATCCTTACTGCAAGAGGTCCTTTGAAGGCAAGGCATAGAGTTGAAGCACAGCCAGCCTCTAAACTCAGCTCTCCCGTGGCCTTTAAAGAAAGCTGCTCTGCGGCACTTAACAGAATCACTACAGCAGCCTCGTGCTTGTTGGGAAGGAAGCCTTCTTGGTGGGGGCGGGGGTTTGTGGTGACTTGTGTGCTCCTTAGATTTTGAGAGCACTGAGATGGAGTTTGAAGGGGATGAGGAAGGTGGTTCATGGTCTGAATTACAGTTGATTTTTTTCGTGAATTGTTTTTCTCCTCACCATTTCCTTACCTCTGCCTGTCTCCTGCCCCTTGTTTGTCTTAGTGTTCTGCTTTGTTTTCTGTTGATTCACTGTGACTCTGTTAGTGAAGAAACAGTGGCCAGAAGTCCTAAAGTCAGGAAAACCAGTTTCCCTTCTAGTAACACCTCAGAAAAGGGCACGCTAGACAGAGTTAACAATCTGTAATAGCTTTGGCTTCTACCAGCAGTCCAGGGAATTACCACTTCTTTGGGAGGGGTTTTCTCGGAGTGTGGATTGCTTGTATAATTCCACGGAAGACACAGGTAATGCTGTGTACAAATCCCTGGCTCCCAGAAGGCACACAGCCCATCCATTGGCTGATGGTGGAGAGGTGGAAGGGTAGCACCTGTGCTGTATACCTCAGAAGCAAGAGCCTTACCCCGGGTATTGTCTGTGTCAGAAGTGTGTGGGGCTGCCGGTGAGAATAAAACAACAGCTAGTTTTTCATAAACACTAAAACTAGTAAAAGTCTGTCCATTGCTTTTTGATTTATTTTTTCTCAAAAAGATGGGTGAGCAAATATCAGGGAAACCCCTACAAGGGACAGTCTGAAATGCCCAGTTGGCTCTCTGTAGTTTCCATCGTGAGGGTAGACAGTGGAGCAGGGGTGGAGGGGTGTGGGGTGTGCTTTCCTGTCCGCAGGAAAGGCTCCAGGTAACCAGTGTGGAAACCAGTGTGGAGCCAGTAACCTGTGGGTGGGTCTGCAGGCTGTCCCATTTTGAGCTGCCTCACTGCCTGGCATCGATACTGTGCTTACCTTTGCCTTTGTTACACTCAGACTTAATCTCTCAATTTCATGTCATTAGATATTTTAGCGATGTATTTTAAAAGCAAACAGCATTAAAAAATAAGAACTTTCTTTCTGGGAGAGGGGACAATACATGTTCCCTGCCTGTATCACACTCCCCTCCCTGTGGAAAGCACTTGGTTACCTCTAGTAGTTAGAAACTTCTCATCTTTCCTTTTTATTTTTTTACCTTTTCACAGCTGCCATTTGCAGATAATACATTATTTTAGATGTTTGCAGTAAATTCCTCATGGACTTCCTATTTTTCTTTTTGAGAAAGGGGTCCTAGCATAGCCAGCAGTCAGTGTGCTTAGACTAAGCCCCTCAGCTTTCTGCCCCCATGCTGTAGTTGCATTGTCCTTCCCGCGAACTCTTCTCATCTTGAAAGTCCATTTCCTCCCCTTAGTCCGAGTTTGTCACTGTGTTAGTGACTTCTCTCAGTCTCATTTTGAGTCGGACATTGGAAGCCTCACCGGGGTGGCTGGGGTACAGCTGTTGAGCATTTCTTGCTGTCCCTGTCCCTGGTCCCTGGTGGCCCAGGGTTGTTTCAGGGAGCTTGGGCAGATGCTGGCTAGAGTGCAGAGAGGACGGTGGAGACAGCAGCTTCTGTACCGAGCATAGAGCACTTGAGCCTCCTTCATACCTGTCCAGAGGAAAAACCTTATAAAAATACACTACAAACCTGAATAAGGTTATTAGGGCCTCACTGTTCAAGCACCATTTTTCCCTTCTGTCTTTTCCCACTTGCCAGTGTACTCAAGCAAATGAAAAAGTTGTAATGGATCAATTTAAAATATTTTATTTCCTAAAAGCCTTTTTGGCCTATTGTAATGTGTGGGAACCCTCTCCTTTGATGGGAGAGATGGGTAATTACCTGAACGTAGGTTGAAAAGGTTATGTAAAAAGAAATTATAATAAAAGGGATACTTTGCTTTTCAGATCCTTGTTTTTTCTTAATCTAGATAAGGCCTATCATATCCAAAATAAATATGTAAAGAAAAAATAAAAGTTGTCCTCATGGAAGCAACTTGTCTTCCTTGGTTGTACTGAATTGCAGTTTCCAGGGGAGAAAAAATTAGTGCTGTTAAATAAGAACAAGGTTCCTTGGCAGGTGTCATGTTTTGTGTGCTGTTGTTTACTCTTGATTCAGTGTGGTTCTTGGTTTTTGATGCAGAGATGCTGTGGGATTCTGTGAGCCTCAGAAACCTGTTTGATGATTTCAATAACCTAGCAAAAGGATCTAGGAGAGGGTATGTTAAGAATGCCGTGAAGTTAATGTCACTCTGATAATGACAATCATGTCAGCATTTAATATCAGTTATCAATCAGACTCAACATCCACAGTATCAACCTTGAATCTGGAATCCTCCTACTTTATGAAGTCTGCCTGTGACAGATGCCCAAACCATTTTTTCTTTCTCCTTTTGTTTACACATGTTAATTTACTCCTGGGATGGCAACAGCTATGCTATGAAATTGTCAGAGCTGATCAATCAGTCAGTAGCATCCTCTAGGTTAAATGCAATAACACGACAATTCTCCAGTTACCTGTTAACTCTTCGTCCTTGTTTTCAAAGCTCACCTCATTCTCTTATATGAGTAAGTGCGTGTAGTGCTGGGGACAGGGAACGAGAAGCGTATCACTTGAGAAACATTATCACGTTAGAGTTGGGTGTTTCCTCTGGAAGAGAACAAGCCTAAACAGAACCTTCTAGGTCTGTGGTAAGCAGGAAGGCACCCTGAGTGAGATTAGAGATGCTGCTGTAGATGACTTGTAATGAAGTCCAAACTCTACTGAGCAACTTTAGGAATCAGAAGGTTGGAAGTGAGAAGATGTTGCATTCTTAGGGATCATTTTCACATAAACTGACTTTCTTGCACGCAAGAAAAGTAAAGTTGGTGGGGGAAACAACTGAAAATCCAAAGACTACTATATAAATTTGAAGCTAGCTTACTGGATTTTGTGCACAGTCCTCAAGCTTTTTATATGAAATGGGAAAACCAACCCTTAATTTAGAGTTAATCTTAAGAATCCAATGTTTTAAAGCCTTTAGTTCTGATTCATGATAGGTATTTAATAATTACCTGTATCAGTAATGGTAACAATGTCAGGCTAAGGCAAAACCAGACACGGGAAGCATGAATCAGGTGATCAGAGAATGAACTGATTCGGTGTATATATTAAATAGAGTGCATTAGGCAAGGGTGTTGCAAGGACTGATGTGATAGTGACCTTGTTGCTAAGTACAGAAGCAAAACAGTGACATAAAAACAAGTGTGCTAAGTACTGAGTGGAGGAGAGAGATGCAGACAGACGCTGCAGGGGAAAAAAGCTGATTAAAAAGGGCCCTTTGATTCCACAGGCATAAAAATCCACAGCCAGGAATTTGCTGCCACCTCTGAGTCAGGCAGGGGTGGGAGGTGGGGGTGCAGGGCCCCATCAAAGAATGCCCAGTGGCTTTAGACTGCGACAGTCCCATTTCTGATTGGGACCAGTGTGGACCTAGCACAGGACTCAAGTAGAGAATGGCTTTTGCAGAGCGTTCACCTGGGACCCCTCGGCGACGGGACCTCTGCAGCCGTTCCATCTGGCTGGTGCGGAAGATTCGTTCAGACCTGACTAGTCTTACGGAGTCTTATGTGAGTTGCCTGTGTTACAGCTCTCCACTTCCCTGCATCTCTTCAGACCTAGCTAGTGCTGTCCCATCCCAGCCCTGTAACCGCTTAGAAAGCTCAGTCCAGTCCTGTCTGTCATGGACACCTGTTACTTGATGTGGAAACTCAAGTGACCTTCGTTTCTTGTGTGGGACACATTATTCCTTCAGTGAGAGATTAGTGGGGTTTTAGTCAATTGGCTAAATATCTCTTGGAGGTGATTCCTTAATATCCTGTATTCTGAATTTGACCAGCAGAGATTAACCATGGTAACTCTGTAAGGGTACTGTTCTATAGGCACTGTTCCAAATTTTGAGCTGCATAAATGAAAGATTTGTAGGATTAGGAGGAAAAGCAATGAGAACTAGGGGAAAATTTGCAAATCCAACTAACTTGTACAGTATGAGTGACCCACTTCTTAGTATTCCATTAAGTGTGTCCATAGAAAGATCCCCTAAGCTATCAAAAGAGTCCCTTGGGGATGTAGGCAAGTGTCAGGTTCCTGAGGGGCCTTGCACAGACTTCGAGGTTGGTTTTCTGAAAGTGGGGATACCTTTGGTGTCTCTGTCAGGCCTGTGGTAGAAATACTCCAGGTTCCTTAGGTCAGTGCTGCACTCAGGTTCTTAGGTTCTCTGAAAATTGCTTTAGCTTTGAGCAGCCTGCCAGTCAGAAGTGAGACTAGACTGGTGCTTTAAAAGCTCAGTTCCTGCTGTGCTGAATTCACCAGTGAGAGTGAGCAATGGGGATGGGATGGGGGAGGTTCAGGAAGACTACAGTGGCTACTCGGGATGTGCCAGGGTAGCCAGCATCTTTCTGCAAGTTTAAAACACTTAACCTCCCGTGTGATTAGAATATTTCAGGAGATAGTTTGAATCAGTGGTTTTCAATCCTTACAACTTAACGAACGTTGAATATTCCTATAGGGAAAATGCCCAGCTAGTCAGTTTCAGCAAGCTACCATCTTCCTAGAGTCTGGGCCTGAATCCCAAGCTAAGATTTTCTTCTGGGCATTTCATTTGCTCTGTGGCTCTTTGCTCAAAGGTGAACGAGACCTTATGTACAATTTTAAGTCCGGCACCCAGGGTGGCAGGGTGGATGTCATGTTCTCCCATCTTCTCGGCCAGGTGAAGCATCAGGGCCTGAACAAGGATGTCAGCCTGGACTCTGTGATCGGTGTGCCGACAGCGAGCGCTGCCCGGTGGGGTGAGCTGAGCGAGGCAGAGCGGCTGCAGGAGAACCTCCGGGCTTACCGCACCTTCCACATCCTGCTGGGCCGACTCTTGGAGGACCAGCGGGTGCACTTCACCCCAGCCGAGGGCGACTTCCATCAAGCCATCCACACTCTCGGGCTCCAGGTTTCTGCCTTCACCTACCAGCTGGAGGAGCTGATGGCACTCCTGGAGCACAAGGTCCCTCCAAATGAGGCCCACGAGATGCCTGTGGGTGACGGCGGTCTCTTTGAGAAGAAGCTGTGGGGCTTGAAGGTGCTGCAGGAGCTTGCCCAGTGGACTGTGCGGTCCATCCACGACCTGCGTTTCATCTCCTCTCGGCAGGCAGGGGTCCTCGCCCTCGAGAGCCAGAAGATGTAGAAAGCAGTCCTCCTGAGTCTGAGCGTCCCTTCTGATGGGATGTGCAACGTTCTGTGCGGCCCAATTCACCTGTCTTTGGCTGTGAAAAGCTTTAAGACCTGGTCGAGTGGGGCTGGAGACAAGGAGGGGCTGTGCAGCCTCCCACCCCGCGCTCTAACCTTTCCACCCACTAAATGACCTTTACCGCAGCAGCCTTAGGATCTGAAGGTAAATACTTACATGCCAGTGCCAGATGACTTCCAAGAAGATTGAACCAGTAAGTAAAGAATGATGCACTCTTGCTGTTCAAGACTTTCAGGTCTTGAGACTAATGATGTGTGTTCTGAGGAGCTGTCCTGGCAGGGCACTCACTGGGAGGTGTACTCACAGTCACACTGGCTTGGAGGATGCAGCCATGGACTCTCCCGGCATGGAAGGAAATCTGTCACAGCTCCTCTGGAGTCAGTAGCAGAGTTTAGTGTAAGAAGGCAGTATTGGTTACCCACACCTGACGAAGAGAACAGCTGAAGGGCTTCAATTTTGAGGCCCGCCAGACTCGGAAGCAACAGCGCAGTGATGCAGCGTGGTACAGCATATCTCCAGGGCCTCTCAGCACTGGACTCATTCTTCCGGTGATCAGAGGCCCTGCAAGCCAAGCTTGGAGGAGCGATGGGTGGAATCTTACCCAGGTTAAAAAGTCAGGCCTCAATCCAATCAGCTCATGTTCCCCAGACTTATTCATGAGGACGACGGGCAGAGGCCAGCTCCTTCCCCCTGGGAATGCCAGAGATTCTGACATGATGGGCAGTGAGGCTTCTGCACTGCACGGCAAAGGACCAGAGCTGTTCTCAAGAGAGCCCTTGGGGCTGGGGATTTAGCTCAGCTGCATAAGCACCTGCCTTGCAAGCAGGCAGTCATGAGTTCAATCCCTGGTACCGATAAAAAAAGAAACAAAACAAAACAAACAAATGAAAAAGAGAGCCCTGCATGGTTCAAGGCTGGCCCCCAAGCATGGTCCCTGGAAGGGTGGAAGGGTCGTTAGTGGCCTGGTCATGTCCTAGTGGTATGGCATGAATGCAGATGTTTTCAAGTGTCATTTACTTTACATTTAACCTGTAATTAAAGCTCAAGATCTTGGATTAAGGGTGCAATAAATTTAGTTCAACTAACCAAGGTATCTTTATTAATGACCCATGATTCAGAAAGGGCTCGCCTTCACAGGTCACATAAAGTGGAGATGACTTAATTTATGTGCTTCCTCATGTGGTTCCTGTCCAGGACTCAACGAGGTCAGTATTTTGACAGGACCTGGGTTTGGCACTGTGGCAGATACAGGGAAGAAGGCTTTAAGTGGGGAAACATATATGAAAATACAAATGTCAATAGTAAATTGGGAGTTAGAAGGCCTGGGTTCCGGTGTTAAAGAAATGAGATTCATGAGGCCCAAAATGGTTTCTTTTTTTTTTTTTTTTTTTTTGTCTTTTTCCTTTTTATCTGTTTCTTAGAGGACAGAGTAGTCATATCTAAGAGATAGGTAGAAAAAAATGATGCAAGAAATGGTGAAGAGTTGGCCACTTTAAAAACAGGATATTAATATATATTCGGGCCTAGCTCTCATTAAAGGATTATAGTTTGGTTTTTATTTTACTTATAATTTCAGTACAGTTTTCCACTAAAGATATTGAAGCTTATTTTACTCAAGTTTTTCCTCACATTATTTATGTATTTATTTTTGTTTCCAGGGATTGAACTCATGACTTCACGCTTGCCAGGCAGGCGCTTATGCCACTGAGCTAAATCCCCAGCCCTTTCCTCTCTTTAATAGCAGCATTTTCCTATCAGTAAATACCTGTGTACAGATGAAAAGCTCTTAGAATACTGTTTAATGGAGGAAGAGGAAGGGTATCTGGTTGTGAGGGGCCCCATGGATGTGACAGGGCAAACCCCCACGGGAGCTCTGTGCTCCTGGAGGGCATGGAGAACATTCACGAAGGAGGCAGAGGGTCCAGGAAAGGTACAAGCACCGACTGCCGATTGCAAGGCGCTTGCAGGACGTGAGCTCTACCCAGCTCTACCCAGCGCTGTTCAAAGCCGTGTTTCAACTTTTCCTTCCAGATTCTTCCCATGGGCCTCGAAAGAAGTGGGCCTGGGGGAAATGAGCCCTGCCCTCTGTGACAAAGAGGTGGGGCCGGGTGTGCACACTGCATCAGGTTCGCTGAAGTGGATAGATCAAATGAATAAGGGACTGAGCTGGGCCAGGGCTCCAGCGGTGTGTGTCATGCATGACGCAGGTAACAGTAAGGAAAACACTCTAGAAATGCATGTGTTTTTTTAAGGATCCATGACCCAAAAAAGTTGTTTTTATTGTTCAGATTTTATTCGCTTGGTGCGTAGGACTGTGTTATGGAAAGGGTCTCTGGGAAGTCCTATGGAACATGTCTCATAAATTTACTTTCACCCTCTAACCCTGGCTTTGTAGAAAAAATTTGTTTTGTGTCTCACAGCCTCCAAAAGGTTCGTTTCTGCAGAGTCTGATTCTGTGTTCTGAGTCTGTTAAGAAATGACATTGCTGACAGTTCACAGATGTGTCTTATATTAAGAGGATGATTTGAAAAATGCTCGCCAACTGTCACAAACTCGAACACCAAACGTGAACTGTGAAGACGGTGAGGCTGTAGTGAAGGGAGGGTGTTAGTGACAGTGGAAAGTGCAAGGTCATAGCCTTGGCACAGCCGTTATTCGAGCTGCTGTGGACCAACGCCCACAGATGACTCACCCTGCACACTGGTCACACAGGGACAGGCACGCCAGTGTTTTGGGGAGACATCTCTGAAAAGCGGCTTAGAGGGACTTGTGGGTGAACTCCCAGCCTTGAAGTTACCAGTGTTCGCTCTCTCCTCTCCGTTCAGGATGGAGATAGACACTCGGGGAGCAGAGGCCTCCGTGTGGGGAGGAGAGGGACTGGTGGAAAGGAAGGGGCAGAGAGAAACTCTGGGCTGCTGTAGATTTGGTGGTGGTGGTGGGGGGGCAGTGGGTGGGAGAGTGCACTGCAGTGTTTGGGCCAGGACATTCTTTAAAAAGAATGATCCAGGGCATTCCTTAAAAAGAATGGCCTGGCCCCGTGCCTCACTCCTCCCGCGGCCGCTGGAGAATGAGCCTCCTGAATGCTGGGGCACTGGAAAAGCCATGCACAGTGTGATCCGGGCCCAGAAGCTTCAGTCGAGTTCTGGATACTGCACATAAAGGCAGATGAGAGAGAATTTGGTCCCCTGGTAAAGTGGTTGTGGGCTGTAAGACAAAATCTGTGCATGTGATGCATGTGATTCTTCACACCAAATAGATTTCTTGGGATTCCTCTATTTTGGGCCCATAGAACACAAAAGATGGAGAAATGGCTAACAATGAAGTTCTCTACTCAGCAAGACCACGAGTGGCTTCTTTTAAGGCTGTGTCTTTGGATAAACAAGGGGAATTTCAAGTGATTTTAGCACTGGATGAAATGTGATCCTCCCGGCCTAGGCTGGACTCACTCGAGCGTGCTGGGTGAATCTCCGAGATGCCAGGCCGCTGGGCAGAATTCCCGGGACCAGTGGCCTAGAAAAAGCTGAGAGCCACACGGCGCCAGCTCCCTGTGTTACCCTCTGCTGTGCACCCCATCGGCCAGCTCCGGGGAGGAGAATCGCTTTTACAGGGCTTCATTCCAAGAACTGGACCCCTAGTCCAGCCTTGGGGCTTGACAAGAATGCTGACTAGCTCATTTCAGGTCAGTTTGGAGGTAGCAACTAAGTTGTCAGAAATTATACCAGGAAAATTTGAAAAAGTGCTGAGAGGTTTTATATTTCTATCTATATTGTCAAGGCCATTTATTTACTGGCCATGTCAGACAGTTCTAAACTATTTTAAATCATTTAATCCTTTCAGATACTCCCATCATAGCTGAGTAAATGACAATGAACATGAATTTGCCTAAGGTCATTCCTCTAGCAGGTGGTAAGGCTAAAGCTCAACTTGCTACCCCTTAAGCCATGGGATCATTCTTGTTCTAAAACCCATTCTCCGTCTCTGTGAGTAACTCTCCTTGGACAAAGCCAGTACAGGCTTGTACTGAACCTTCCTCCAGCAAAACCATGCCAGTTCCCAAACTAGGACCAGTTGTCTTTCTGTGCTTCCTCTCTTAGGAAATGCTGATAACCAACTTTCTGGGTGGTTTTGTGTGGTGTGGGCAAATCAAGTATCTGAAAGTACTTATGACTGACACACAAACACCAAGTACATTCAATATCTCCAGTTGCCTGGATTCATGTGACACTGGGATGAGGAGGAATCTGGATTCTGTAACTATGTCAGACTACCATTGGCTTTTTAGGTGGATCTGATTACACCCTAGCCTTCACCCTGCTGACCTCTGACCATGAAAGACTGACCCACGCTCACTCAGAGCCTCCAGAAATCATCTTCCTCTGGAGGGTGAGACCCAGCCGTTCAGTGTCCGGAAGGTAGCTTCACTGCAGGTGGGGTCAGACAAGTCCTGGAAAACCTGGCTGGCTCCATAGGAAGCCAGGGAAACTTGGCAACCCAAGGCATCACCCAGAAATGAATGCAAAAGCACACATTTATGCTTAGAATTGTCGAACATAAGTGTCCTTTGAGCAAGCCACTCAGTGAAGGTTCTCAAAAACAGTATTCCGAGGCAGAGGTCTGGGGTTGGATCTATATGCCGTACGGCAGGGGAAGGAATCAGGCCTGGCTTCTCTTACTTAACAGGACTGGGCTCTGACGCCCAGAGGTCTGGAGCAGCAGGTGCGTTGAGGGCTATACCAGTAATTGGGAAGTTACTGGAAAAAATAATGTCAATACTCCCAACCCCATTCTAAGTTAGATCTCGGTGGTTTTAGGAAGTTGCGTGCCCCACTACAACCAAATTCAACAGCTATACATATCCATATTGCTTGTAGGCAGTGATAGCACATATTTACATGGTATTCAGTGTGTGCCAAAGTACTGCTTTCCATGTGTGGAGTCCTTTATCCATACTAGAGCTCTGTAAGGTAAACGGAAAGGTGCTTATTCGACAAATGAAGAGACAGTTTCCTGCATCTGAAACACAGCCTCCTGGGAAAGACATGAGCCCACCCACAGGGAGATACAAGGAGACAAGTCCAGTGTGGTGAGCAGTTTGTGCAGATAGCAGAGGTCTGCGGAGACGGGATTCACGCGAGGCCCCAGGGAGCAGAGCTTTGTTCTACATCAGCAGCTGCAGAAGCCAGGGCAGCTCTTTCACTGCTGCTTCTGAGTCACAGAGGGCTGCTGCAGGTTTGCCTGGTGCATCACTCTCCAGAGAGTGCCAAGGCTCACCCTCACCCACGGTAATCCGGCAGGGGGATCTGAAAGGCTGTCACATCCCAGAGCAGCACCAAGCCCAGCTTGTGTGTTGGTGCCCTCCGTGTGTGTCACACCAGTGGAGGCCCTGTGTGCCACACCCTGGATAGATGACTGCAATCGCTAAGTGTGACTGTGATTAAGGTCAGCCACCAGATGCTAGGGGAAGGGCAGGCCCCTGCATGGCCCACATCCTAGGGGAAAACCCTGGAAAGCGCTTGGCTGCAAACTGCAGCCATCACAGCAAAACTCCCAGGCTTGGTGTGGATGGCACTGAGCCGCGTTTCATGAGCAAGAAAAGAACAAAGTGCAACCTTGGCTCATGGTCCTCAAAAAGTAGGAAAAAATTATAGGGGAATTCTACACTGGGCTGTTGGTGTAGGCAGCTTCACGTGGTCAGGGCCGCGGGTAGCTTGCGCTGCCCTGCTTTGCAGTTATATAGGTGGTTTCTACTCCTGGGCTGGGAGTCCTGGCCAGCGTGTAAACAGGGCCACAGCCTGGCCATGGCATCTGATCAGTTTGGACACCAGGGACCACATTTTGCTTTCTCACCAGTGACAAGATTATGTGTAGAAAGGAATCAGGATTTCTCTTCTCACTGTTGAGCACAGGTAAGAGGAAAAAGACTGACTAACAGACGTCAAGGTGAGACTAGTTCGGGATGGATACCAGACTACCTGGGTAACAAAGAGGGCTCCTCCTCAATGAAAATATATGTCAGAACCCCATGATAGAATTACTCTTACAGGAAAGCAACAGCGGAGTTTACACTGTGTTTTAAAAATGAGCA